AAGGGCTTTATTTTCCTGGGGAGAGAATTGACAGGAGTGGAGTATGGCTTTGGAAAACTAACCCCAGCTGAGATTAGAGAATCAATGGAGGCCATTTTTTCAGCAAACTCGGAACGCATTAGCGTTTACAAAAGGGGCATTGTTATACAGCAATAGTCAGCATGAACTTTTCGTTCCCCAAAATCGAAGAACAGGGTTTATCCAACTAGGGTTTTTGATAAATTGAAACGAGGAAGAAGAAATGAGAGTTTGAACGGTTGTTTTCCATGTTTTAGCTTATCTGGATCGAGGATCCGAAAGAGCAAAGCAGATTTGGGTCAGGCCTGACCGGCTTTATTCATTTTTGGATAAACTACATTAATGGTCACTAATGTTTGAGTAAGTTTTCTCTTTTACCACTGATGTTTCGAAAACCACAAATCAGTTAGTAATGTTATGATTTGTTACAAATTGATCACTCGAAGTTAACATACATGACGGAATGCACAGCTGGATCGTTAACTGAGAGAATCACAGAAACAAAATGTTAGTTACAAATATTTAATGAATATTTAATTAATAAAAAAATTAAAGGGAAAAATCAAGGCTTTGATCACCAGTTGCTTCCTCATCTTTAATAACCATTTGATAAAAATTTTGTTACACACCCAAGTCTCCTTGGATACCTCCATTTTTGAACTCATGGGTAGTTTCTCCTTCTCCTTCCATTGTTCCATTGTTAAACCTATCAATCAAATTGAACCCTAATAAAATAGACAAGGTTTCTTTGAGGTTTTTCTATTACGAAAATAGAGTTCGATAATGGAGACATTGATAATGAAGAAGAACGAATAGGTGAAAGGAAGTGTGAAAATGGAGAAACAAATGGTTTGGAAAAAAATTAAACCGAGAATTGTGACGAAATATGAGGGATAAGGGAACCCAAAAGCTTGAAAAGAGTTCTTCTTCTTTAACTTTAGTTTCATCTTCTCATTCTTCCTCTTTGGCTTCAGCTTCTTATTGTAGCAAGTCTTCAATTGTGAATTCATTTTCTGCAATGGGTGACTTCACAACATCATCAAGTGAAATCTTAATCAAAATTTGTTCTTTTAATGTTGTTTCTTGTTGGGTTTCTTCACTACATTTTCATGTTCTTAATCTTGGCACTCTACACTTGTTTCTTCTACAAGTTTGATACTTTCATCTTTCACCAAGACATATTCAACCCCTATTTCAACTTTTGGGATTTCTTGTTCTTCATTTGCTTCACAAGAAACAAGCATTTCACTAATTTCACTCACTTCTTCATGTTTTATTTCAACTTTCACAGTATTCTCTTGGACTTGCCCGTCTTGTCCTTCCAATTTCTCTTCACTTTCATTTTCAATCTCTTTTGCTTCTTCATTTTCTCCATATTCATCTTTAGGGATTGGAGTTTCCCAAAACTTATTCGCATGGGCAACCATTTTAACAAGATCATATCTACATCTCATCAACGGCAATGCTTCTTCATGTTTATTTCCAGACATTTGACTCTCCAACATAGCGATCAACCCAGTCCAAGTAAGCTTTAAACGGTCCAGCTGTGCTTTCCATCACGCATGTTAATGATTGTTAACGTTGAATGACCAATTTGTAACAAACGATAACATTAGTGACTGATTTATGACTTTTGAAAAATTAGTGGCAAAAATGAAAACTTACTCAAACATTAGTGATCATTTGTGTAGTTTGCCCTTTTTGGTAAAGTACACAAATGGTCTCCTGAATGTAAAATGTTGCTTTGTTAAGTCCTCTTACTATTAAAAATTATAAAATGATCCCACAACTATAGGTAGTTGCTTTGTTGAGTCCCTCAACTATTAAAAGTTACAAAATGGTCACCCGACTATTCATTATGTTTCAAACTATTCCTTTTCCAGATATGCTAACTGAGATATGATAAAATTTGATATTATAATCTCAAGCGATTATCATATCTCAGTCAATATGTTAACGTCCAGCTTAGACAACTGTTAATTTTTAACAGAAAATAACGAGTTTGGAATATAATGAATAGTCAAATGACCATTTTGTAACTTTTAATAGTTGAATGACTCAACAAAGCAACTCTCTATAGTCGGAGGACCATTTTGAAACTTTTAATAATCAGAAGAATCAACAAAGTTGTATTTTATAGTATCAGATTATTATAAAGTAGTAACTGTTTATAATATCTCTTAGTAATTGACGATGAATGATCCTACAAATATAATTGTTCGAATTTGAAATCTCCATGAATAACTACACTTATTTTATTATTTCGTAGGGAAATAAAATTGAGTTTTGTAAAATACACATTTTAGACTACCTTACATCTCTCTATTTTCAAATTGGAGTAATTTACTTTGATACATATAGAAAATGACAATCCCTCTCATTCTTTTTCCTACCAAGCACACTACAAATTTATTTTATATTCACTTTTTCATCCCCTCCTTCGATCCTTCAACTCAACCAATCATAGCCTAAGAATTCTTGCTACCACCGGTAGAATTTCAGGGTATCTAATTTGGCAGTGTGCCAACTTTAATACAAACTAAATTTAGGTATAATGTTAAAAAAATCGTGACATCATCTTATTAACTTTTAATGTTTTATTATAAGTCAAAATATTTTTTCCTAAATGAATTTTTTTAATTAACTAACAATCAACATCTTAAAATAAGGTGATAAATCTAAATAACATTGCATCTTGATGTGACAACGATAAAAAATGTCACGTGTCATATTTTCCGGAGCTTATAATTGTTTTGTTATTTTGTGAAAATGTTAGTGATCGCTTAGTTATTTTTGAAATTTCAATGGAAAAAAGAGAAACTTATTCATACTTTAGTAATCATTTATGTAGTTTATTTTAAAGTAAATTTTGCTAATGAAAAAAAATATGATTGTGATAACAGTTAATGATTCATCCCTTATGATGTGCAACGGTAAAAATAGAGTTATCTACAAATAGTCATTAAACTATGGTAAAATAATCTTTTTGGCCATTTAACTTTCAAAAGTTATAAAATGAGCATTAAACTTTTAATTTTGTTAAAAAAAACACTGACTCTTGACTTTCATTAAGGGATAATGTGACATACTAAATTAATAAAAAAATATCTCATTTGCTCCCTCAATTGAGGCTAAAATTTTATTTTTGATATTTTCAATTTTTTTAAGTGATAATTCTAAAAAAATTTAAGAATTTTATTTTTTTAAGTATATAGAATTTCACAGTTGATTTTTTAAATTATAAATATATTTTTTAAAATTATAGTTAAAATTATTTAAAAATGTTAAATAATTGAATCACTTTACTTAATAAAAAATAATTATAAAATAATTTAATGAATCTTTTAAAATATACTTTTATGATTCTAAAAATGAATTGTGAATATATATATATATTAGAAAAATTGATTATTTAGAATTGTTACTTAGAAATATTAAAAATATAAAAATAATATTTTAATTACAATTGAGGTATCCAATGAGATATATTTTATTAATTTAATATGTCATATTATCCCTTTAATAGTAGTTAAAGATGTAGTATCTACTTTATAACAAAATTTAAAATTTAATGTCTATCATGTAACTTTTGAAAGTTTAATGTCCAAAAAGATTATTTTAACATAGTTTAGTGATTATTTAAAAAAATTATCCTATAAAATTAATGGTGTATTTTCAGTGTGTATCATGTATTCTAGAATTTTTCATATTGTAATAATGTTATTACAGTACATTTGTAATAATGTTATTTTTTAATACTAATGCTATTTTAACCGTCGGATAATCAACATATTGACGGATGGTATGAGATATGTAATGGATCTAATAGTTCTTTATGCAAACGTATTATGTACTCAGTCACGTGGGTGTGGCAATAATGATTTATTTATAAGAAGCTCCATCAAAAGTCTAACTTAATATTTTGGACAAGATTCCGGTGTTGAAAGATCTATTTTGACATGTTCTATTTTTAACTACTCGGTTAATTGAATTTATTAAGTGATCTAAGTGATCAAATAAAATATTATCTTTTCAGAAATTTTAAGTTTAAACATTACGTCGGTGGGATGTGTATATTTTATTATTTTAAAATTTAATATAAACTTTTTGTAATACAATTCAAACTTATCAATTAAACAAGATTCATCACTTTCTGTCTGATGTATTGCCTTACATGATTCGGGGTGAATCAAATCACATATCCCTAATCAGACCTCAGCGAATAGCTCTTGTTAAACTATCTGTAACCTTGTTCTGATTGCGTCCAACACTTTCACATTGTAACCAGCACACGTAATAACAATCATTAACAGGGAACATTGACTTTCATAGCTGCTTCATTATTGCAACTAAAAAGGTTGTCTTTGATATTATAAACTAATAATGGAGGCATTGGCAGGCGCAGCTATGGATGTCAACTGAATGAAGGGTACAAAACCAACTGTATGGAACAGTACCACAACAGATGCTCATTCACGACGTTAATATCCACGCTTTTGTGTGTTAAAATAATGGAAAGCGAAGACTTTTAAATTTTTTGCTTGGGAGCAACAAAGAAGACGATCAGCCATTATAAAATATAAAGCTTGGCTAAACAGAAGCGCATCACAAAACGGTAATTCATGCACCAAAATCCCTCCTTTATCTCATCATCTCTTGTTGTTTTTCTTTTCATTGTTACCGAGTTTAGTTTGATGTCTTAGCTTTATATTTGCATGTGGGTATTTCTCTCTCTGTAAAGTTAGATGTGTTGACCTTCAAGCATCATTCTGGATCTTGATTTCTATTGGGTATTTAGATTTTGGGCAAACCATCACAATCAAATGATTTAGTTCTACGGCTGTATCTTCATGATTTCTGTGCATAAATTTCTGATGCATTTTTACTTGTTGGATTGTTATAAATTCAGTTTCGAATTTGGGTGTAGCAGGGCTCATTGGACTGCATTATTTGCATGAAATTCATCACCTGTTGGAGTAATCATGCGTGCTATCAGGAATTGTTTTTGCTTGAAGAAACGCAAACCTGGGTTTGAAGAGCCTTCCATTCTTGCTGCTGAAACACATTGTAAGTTTCTACACTGAAGACATACCTGCTGAGCTTCCAATGCTTATTTTGGCATCATTTTGCTATTTCTGGTATGTGGCATACCTAGGATTTGATGCTAGGGGCGAGTATATAAAATTTCAGGGTATGAGAATTTAAAATTTTCAGGGTAGCCTCCCCTGCCAGCCCCCCTCGGTCCATCCATGGTGGCATAACTTCATGCAAGAGCTTATAAGCTTATCATATTCATGCAAATTTAGTTTGTGCAATCTGTACCTAGTGCTTGCCTAAGTGTAGAGAATTTCTTATAATTTGACAGTTACTGTGAATGAAGTAGAAGCTCTACATGATCTGTTCAAGAAGTTAAGTAGCTCCGTAATCGATGATGGTCTGATTCACAAGGTATACTCACTCCATTCTGGTTCAGATATGTGATCTGTTCAACAAGTTGTAATTCTTTAGATGTTTTCTAAACAGGAGGAATTTCAGCTTGCATTATTTAATAACAGCAATAAGAAGAATTTATTTCTAGATAGAGTGAGTGTTGTTCCATTCCAATCTGTTTTGCTTCACCGTCTTATTCTTGTTAATTCACAGAAATTTCTTCAAGGTGAATTGATTTTGTTGCAGTTATTTGATTTGTTCGACATTAAACGTAATGGCGTTATTGAGTTTGGAGAGTTCGTTCGCTCTTTAAACGTCTTCCACCCCAGAGCTCCAGAAGCAGATAAAATTGCATGTATGTTCCTTTAATCCTTTCTTGGTTTTCGCTTTCATGCTAATATGCAAGTATATCTTCTTCCAGACTTGTTTAGATTGTATGACCTACAACAAACTGGCTTCATTGCGCGTGATGAGGTAAGTATATGTAATTTTGAACTTACAGTTATTGTTTGCTTAAGAGTAATTAGATGATAACCTCAATGGCATGCTATTCGCCCGGCTTGACCTAACTGGAAGTTGAAGGAGATGGTATTGGCTCTGCTTAGTGAATCAGATCTGTCACTTTCCAATGATGCGGTGGAATCGATTGTGGATAAGGTGTCAAACATTGCAGACTCTTTAGTTTATTGCATATCTCAGTTTCCTTTCTCGATATTGATATTACTTGTATTGTTCCAGACAATGATGGAAGCAGATTTAAAAGGAGATGGGAAGATCGATGAAGAAGAATGGAAGGAATTCGTGACGAATAATCCATCTATCTTAAAGAACATGACACTTCCATATTTGAAGTGGGTTTCTAATGTTATTCAGCTTTTTCATGCTAGGTTCTTTTATAAACTAAAATGTTTCTCTTCCCATTACTTATATCTGGATATTGTTTTTCAGGGAATTGACTATCTCATTTCCCAGTTTCATACTGAACACTGATGTAAAGGATTTGGAGTAACCGATGAAGACAGTAGGCTTGCTCGAGTTTTCTTTTCAACATGCTAGAAGTTTGAGGAAAATGAAACAAGGAAAAAAAACTAGTATGGAGAACTAGATTGTTTTTATTGTTAAATTCAAAGAAGCCTCTGAAAGAATAGAAAGAGAGTAGTATAATCCATGGTTTTGTCTGCAACTTATACACTCCCCTGCTTGGTCATGCATTTTGAACTTGTATTTCTCTGCAATTTCTTTTGTCCTTTCTTTTTGAGGCTGAACTGATTTCTGGTTGCATTTTACATTTAGACTGTAAAATGTTATATTGGAAACGTTATCTTAATAAGAGCTTTATATGTTTTAAGAAAGTACTACACATATTAATATGATCTTACCATAATGATGATGGCAGCATGCAGAGAAGTAAACCAAAACAAAAAGAAGATGAGATGAGAAGACTGATAGTCACCTTCATTTCCTGCCTCATTGTAGATGCCAAGAATTGGTTAAAACCCCAAGGTCGCTTTAGATTTCGGACATTCGATACGCCGCACATATAGTTATATACGAAGTCATTTGTACCGATAGAAATGTATAGCATGGAACTAGGGATGAGATCGATTGCTGTATCCTCCTTGCCTAGGCTTAAAACAAACTGCTTGTAAGCACATAGGCCTAAGGAGTTGAGTCCTCTTTTGTAGTGCGAATGATGGATTTTGTATGATGGTTTGGAATATGTATGTTGCATAAGAACCATGATGAGTTAATGACTTGTTAGATTTTATTATATGCATGCTTGAACTGAGATAAATGCTTGTTAAGATCATCATATGGTTTGAGGTATGCCTGATGCGTTTGGAGTGCACTACAGGCTCTCTTGGTGAAGTATGAATTATGAGATAATAAGAAATTACTTGGATTGTCAAAAATTGCATAAAAGGTGCTTGAGAGTAAAGGAATAGTCATTTACACCTTTTATTATATTAGTGTTATGTCCAAAAGGCTAGGAATGCATTTAGGTGTGGATTAGACATCGATAGAAGCTATTTTGATTAAAAAAAATTAGGAAACTAGATTAAAACTTGCATAAAAATAACATATATGTCAAATTCTAGGTTAATAGTGGTTGTGATGGTTCCAACATGTTTTTAAGCCATCCATTATGCATGTAATATATTTAAAAAAGTTGTGTCGTGGGTTGATGTACAACAGGTGAAGTGATGGTTTAAAATAGAACAAGAGGTGATTATGATATCGATCTAGGGTTCACTTTTTTTTAGTGTGGACAAGGAGTTGTTGATCACTCGAAATCTAGATTAAGAGATGGGCCAAGGTTTAAAAATAATAGTTCAAAGAGATGAAGGGACAAATGACTCCGTAAACTTAGAAATGATATGTGACATGACACGTGACATAATAATGTAAAAAGAAAATGATCTTCCTCATACATATATATATATATATATATATATATATTAATTTATGATTACTTAATCCTCTTTTCTATATACATTGGTTAAAAAGAAGGTATATAAATTTTCTTATAGGATCTATACGAAGAACATAGAAAGAAAGGTTAACACATGTCTCTTTTAATATATGTCATGTTATACAGTGACATGATTAGGGGTAGATATTTAACCTAGATTCAATAGTATTTTTACCCGAATTGATCTTTAGATACCCAAAATCGAAGATATCCGATTATGAACACCCCAACTTAGTACTTTTATTTATTTATTATTATTGATACTCTTTATTCCAAATTGAATTAAAATATTCATGAATGCGCCCAGCGCCCTTGAATGTTTAATTAGTGTGTAATTTTTTATTAGTCTAAAGTGAATATAAGGTAGTATCTATTTAAAGATTCTCATGACATACATCTCTATATATATTGTACTCGAACTCAAAATTTCAAAAAATAACAATAATTCTTTAACCACTATCGTCACTTGGTTTGTGCTTTCCAGAGAACTTAAATGAATAAATGACGTGAGTTCTGAATGGCATTTCAATAAACTCAACACCTCATCTTCATCCCTGAAAATGTCCGTTAGTGAGAACCCAATGACAATTATAATTTGAAGCGTAAACTATATATTTAGTCATTTATTTGTTTATACAATTCTATTTTGTTTATTCAATTATTTTTTTTAAAGAGAAAATCGCCTCAGTGACCAAAAAAAAGTTATAATATACGATTTTAACCAACTTTTTTTGGATTTGCCAAAATGACCAACAAAATCGCAACGCGAAATAAAAATCGCAACGCGATCCCCAGAATCGCAAATCAGTTTCCAAAATCGCAACGCGATTCTTGAAAATCGCAATGCGATAGTACAAATTCGCATTGTGATTTTCCAAAATCGCAACGCGAATATTAAAATCGCAACGCGAACACATAAATCGCAACGCGTATCCGTAAATCGCAACGTGTATCCGTAAATCGCAACGCGTATGGGTAAATCGCAATGCGTATCCGTATATCGCAACGCGTATCCGTAAATCGCAACGATAATCCGTAAATCGCAACGAGAATCTGTAAATCGCAACGATAATCCGTAAATCGCAACGAGAATCTGTAAATCACAACACTGAAATTTTGGGTATATAACACTGAAATCATAAACTAAATCCCTAAATCGCAACTCATTCCATCTCCATCTATCACTCTCTCCGGCGACATCCGTTCCTATATCCAACGACATCCTTCCCAATCCGGCAACAGGTTTTAGTTTCGCAGCTCGTCTGTTTAGTAAATTAATTTACAACCATGAAATCATCTAATGTTGATCATGTTTGGATAGATTTGTGTTTTGGAGGGTCATGGGATAATGTTCATGGTGTTTTACAATATATGCCTTTACCCATGAATCTTCAACTAAAATTGTCTTTACAAAAGTTAACTTATGAAACTCTAATGCTACGTGTTTCAAATAAATTGAATTTAGAGCCCCTAAGTGGATTTAGGCTATCTTATCAGAGAAATGGTAAAGTTTATTTGTTAACCGACAATGAAGATGTTGAACGATTCATTGCTTACATTAGTGTTTCACAAGATGATGTTACATTGTATGTTGTTGAACCTAGAAGTAGTATTGTTGGGTCAGTAGCGGGTAGTAATCAACTAAGTTTTTCTCAAAACCCACAACCTTTCTCTAATCCAAATCCCAATCAACTTTCAGCACCAAATTCCGGTTTTCGTATTGACCAGTTAGACGATGATGAGCCAACAGAAAAAATTGTGAGTACTAGTCAGTATTCGAAATTTGGTCTTGGTCAATATCCGGACTTTGATATTGGTCAATACACGGATTTTGATGATGTTTCAGAAGAAGAAACAGACCATGCGTGTAATGATATTGATATTGGTCAATACCCGAATTTTGATGATGAAACAGCCGTTGCCGAAGAATGTATTGTTGATGATAATGAGGAGGAAGTTACGACTGTGAATGAACATGTTGAACATCCATTCTGTAATTCATATAATCCTGAAGAAGAAAAAGAAAAAGTCCCCGAAGAAAAGAAAATGCCACGGGCGTATAACTGGAATATGCCAGAATTACTTCAGATACCGGAAGAAGAGTTGATAAAGAAAGCAGTTGATTGTTACACAAAAGTTATTCGTATCAAGAAAGATGATTGTTTTGATACAAAGGAAGACTTGAAGATAGCTTTATATACGAAATGTGTGGAAGATGGCTATCAACTAAAAGTTAACAAATCAAGCAAAGATCGTTTCGAAACAAGGTGTATGATTGACAAAACTGTACGTGGCGTATGATTGCAAAGAGAATAAAAGATTGCAAAATGTTTCAAGTTAGGACTTTTATTGATAACATACATGTTCAAGAACCCAAGTTTTTCCTCACCATAGACAGGCAAACAAAAAGGTGTTGGGTGGTTTTCTGGCTGAGTTAATGTTTTTGAATGGCAGGGTATATCGGGGACATGAAATTATGACTGACATGAATGCTCGGTTCAAGATTAGTATATCATATTCTCAAGCTTGGAGAGCCAAATTTTATGCCTTGGAATTGTTGAGGGGGTCGCCAGAAGCATCGTTTGCCCAACTGCCGGCTTATTGTCACAATTTAAAGCTGAAAAATCCTGGGTCGGTAACTCATATCAAAACAGATAGAGATGGACGCTTTGAGTTGCTGTTTATCGCCATTGGTGCTACGGTTAGTAAATCAATATAATTTTGTTGACTCATTTTGTTAGTTACATGCATTTCACATTTAAATGATTATATTTCTTGTGTATATTATTTTGTAGATTCGTTCGTTTATTACTTGCATGCGCCCAGTTATTATAGTTGACGGAGCACATTTGAAAGGTCGATACCTTGGAGTAAACTTATTAGCAGTAGCCATGGATGCTAACAATGGGATATTGCCAATAGCTTACGGGGTTGGCAAATCTGAAACCTCTGATTCATGGACATGGTTTATGGGGCATCTTAGGGATTGCATAGGTCCTATTAGCAATCTGACAATCATATCCGATAGGGCAAACTCAATTGACAACGCTGTTAGAAGGTGTTTCCCAGATGCTTTTCATGGACTTTGTGGTGTTCATTTGTATAGAAATCTAAAATCAAGGTCTGCTGGTATAAAAAAGCACAAATGGACATACTGGAAGGCTGTAAAAGCTTATCGGGAAGTGGATTTCAATAAGCATATAAATTGTTTAAGACGTGTTTTGCCTCAGTGTGCTCAAACACTAGAAGATGTCGGGTTTGAAAGATGGTCAAGAGTACATCAACTTGGAGCAAGATATGGTTTCATGACGTCTAATAGTGCAGAATCAATCAACGCTCTAAGTCGTCATTCCCGGAAATTACCCATTACTATGTTAATGGAGTTTTTCGAGCCTCTATTCAACAGTGGTACTACAAGAAAAGAAACCATGCAGGTATTATTTCTTTGAATTCGTAACTTATCATATTTATATATTTTACTAAGTATTGTTTATTTAAATTTACAGGAACATTGGAACATCGTGTTACACCATGGACTGAAAAAAAGATAACGAAACGTGTTGTGAAGTCAACGTCA